CTTCACAACGCCGCCGCCGTTTCCTCTTTCCCAGATCGTGAATCAATCTCCAGTTCTTCACTAGCAGCCGCCGTTCGGTTCTTAATCCCCCAGCTATTAATTTTATTACGATTTCCCCAAATTATCCGTTGCAATGAGCAGTGGAATAGGTAACGTCTACTTCCCATCTCCATCTATTTATTTGATTGATGTTCTGTTCTTCTCAATTCTCAAATCGGGCCTGCAAATCAGTGTTTCACTCGACCTCCTTCGTTTCCAGTTGCCGCCTTGCCGGTCATGCGACCTGTGTGTCAGAATCAAGTGGAGCCTGGATCCCTGGAGGCCCTGCTCGTCAGAGAGATTCGACTGCTCGGCAGGCCAGACGAGGCTACGAGTTCTTAGTCGCCAAAGCAACAAGCGTCTCCTCCCCGGCTCCCCCTGATCTGCTTCTCACATCAATCAAAGACAGGTTGTTTCATTCCTTTTTGACCGCAAGTTTAGTTTTTAGTTCCTTATTTGTCGCTTAGTTTACTTACTGCAATGTCCTCTAGAATTAGAAAGTGCGCGTCAGGATATGAAAAACGCCAGAAAAAGAAAAAAAGAGAGAAACTTGATGAATCTCTGAAAGGTGGTCTTGATAGAGTATTCTGCTTTTGTTGCAAAAATTTTGGGAAGGGGCGTGCTAGAGGTCATTTGGCAAACGAGGGATTTAGTGACTGGATACACCTTAGTATCAGACTTAGAGAGCATGAAACTGGAGTTGAACATCTTCAAAATATGGTCACTTGGCATGAGTTGCGCCTCAGGTTGCAACAGAATAAAACTATTGATAGCGCTGCTCGACAACAGCTTGAGAAAGAAAAGGACCATTGGTGTAAAGTATTGCTTAGAATTCTCTTGATTGTTAAATTTCTTGCGAAACATAATCTAGCCTTTCGTGGTACTAATTCCAAATTGTATCAAGATAGCAACGGAAATTTCTTAGGCTTGGTTGAAATGTTGGCTGAGTTTGACCCGGTTATTCAAGAACATGTTCGTCGCATAACAAATGATGAAACTCATACTCATTACCTTGGTCATGGCATCCAAAATGAGTTAATACATTTGATTGCTTCTGCAATTAAATCTGAGATCATTAAAAAAATAAAAGAAGCAAAATATTTCTCGGTGATACTTGATTGTACTCCTGATGCGAGTCACCAAGAACAGATGTCTTTGATTATACGGTATGTTGAAACATCTTCAAGTTCTATTTCCGTTGTAGAATCCTTTTTAGGATTTTTGGATGTAAATGATACCACTGGAAAAGGACTCTTTGAGGTTTTGCAGGATGAACTAAAGAACCTTGATCTAGACATAGACAATGTGAGAGGGCAGAGCTATGACAATGGATCAAACATGAAAGGTAAGAATCTGGGGGTTCAAGCCTTGCTTTTGAATATAAATCCTAGAGCTTTTTATTCTGCATGTGGGTGTCATAGCCTTAATTTAACACTATGTGATATGGCCAAGACTTGTGGTAAAGCTAAGGACTTCTTTGGAATCATACAACGTATCTACACAACATTTGCTAATTCCACTAAGAAATGGAAGATTTTGAAAGATAATATAGGAGAAGGATTGACTCTGAAATCAGTCTCATCTACTCGTTGGGAGAGTCGCATAAATAGTGTCAAAGCTATTAGGTTTCAGATTTCAGAAATACGAGAAGCTCTACTGCAAGTAGCTGATGTCGATAAAGATCCTAAAACTTGTAGTGAAGCTAAATCTCTAGCAAATAATGAACTTGGTGATTTCGAATTTGTAGTAGCCATAATCATTTGGTATGATGTATTGGCTGCAGTAAATTTGATTAGCAAGGACTTACAGTCAAAAGATATGCTTATTGATGTTGCCATTGAAAAAGTGCAAGGCTTGATTACCTTTCTCAAAGGTTACAGAGACACTGGTTTCACTACTGCAGTAGAAATAGCAAGGGAAATAGATATCAACCCTGCATTTCGGAAAAAGCGTGAAATTAAAAGAAAAAAACACTTTGATGAGAATCCTGATGATGTGTTAGATGCTTCACAATCTGCACAAGAGTCGTTTAGGATAAAGTACTTCTTACCTGTTGTTGATCAAGCTATTGCTTCACTTACTACGAGATTTGAGCAATATAAATCATACGAAAAAACTTTTGGTTTCTTGTTTACTTCTCATGCACTAAACTCATTGGATGATAAAAATTTGAGGTCTTCTTGCAGTAGCCTTGAGACTGCACTTAGAAGTGGTGACAAATCTGACATTGATGGTAATGATTTATATGTTGAGTTAAAGTTACTCCAAGATTTCATTCCAAAGGAAAAAAATATGGGACCTATTGACATTTTAAATTTTTTGAAACGCTTGAATTGTTTTCCCAATGCAACTATTGCATATAGAATTTTATTGACCATCCCAGTAACCGTTGAATCGGCAGAGAGAAGTTTTTCTAAAGTAAAGTTGTTGAAGTCCTATTTGCGTTCTACAATGACACAAGAAAGACTTAGTGGACTGGCTTTGATAGCAATTGAAAACGACATCTTGGAGAATGTATCTTACGAGGAACTAATTGAAGAATTTATCTCAAGGAATGCAAGAAGGATGTCACGCTTCTGCTAGAAAATGTATTGTTTTTTAGTTTCTAGAATCACTTTTGCGACAAGATGTTATTCAGAAGATTGTACTATGTACCAACATGATATACAATATTAATAATAATAACAATTAGATCTTGTTTCCCTCATCGCCACTTGCGACGCCGAGGGCCCATTTTCTGAGTTTGCACCGGGCCTCCATTTTCCCTGGTACGCCCTGTATACTATTAAGCTTTTGATAGCTCAGGTGGTGCTATTTCCACTGAACTTTTTAAAATTTGATTGATGGTGCCAATTGTCATAATGCTTCCTGCTCTAAACATATGTAACACCTACTTGGCTATAATTCATAGAACTTATGTACTAAAATGTAGAAGATTTATTTACAACAGTAGTCACGCACAATACATAATAATTATCTCAAAACGACAATTTGTACATAACCTTTCATATCGTCTCCATTTTAGAATCTCCGTACTTAAATGTGTATATATACATTGGTTTTTATGTAAATAATATCAGGTTAATTATGCCATACCACTATATTTAATAAAAATATCACAGGATGCACATTTGTCTAGCTTTATAATTACACTCTAAGAACTGTGTCTATTCCAGTTTTTTCATCTTAAGATTAAGATCATATATCTTCTATGCAAATGAACGTATTCAATTTATGTATTGACATATATGTAGGACTAAGAGTTCCCGCAGCAACGCGCGGGGAGTCATAGTTACCAATATATCCTAGCGCGAAAGTTTGACCGATTCATACTGCCGTTCGATCAGCAAATACTATCCATCATAATGGATAGTATGATGCACCGTAAAAATCTTCAAATGGATGTATATAGCACAAAATTAGTGCTAGATACACTATTTGAGAGACAAGTTTGGGACAAGTTTTTTTCGGACGGAGAGAGTATCTACTATGACTAGCCTAACACCTGCAGTGCGGGCCTCAGTCGCTGTCACGCGGTTCCGGCGATTGATGTTTTTATCATAAATTATGTCTCATCGATATTATCGTCAAGTCATCGGCAATTAGTGTTGATTCCAGGCCGGCACTTCTCATAGTTTCCCCTGCCGATCTCTTGGAGCTCTACAAAGTAGGAGTAGGATAGTAGCATGGAGTCTCAGATTCGTATTGCAAGGTAGCAGCAGCACAGAGGGGCAGCTTGCCTACCGCCACTCAATCCGGAGCGTCAACGTGCTCTGCCCTGAGTGGCCCATCAGATCGACTCTCTCCGGTCAGAGCGGATCCAACTACGACTCCAGCAGCTCCGGTGCCTCAAGGTCCAACAACTCCGGCTACTCCACCAACTCGGCGTCCGTGGGTGAAGCGGACCTGGGTACCAGCGAGCTCACGAAGATTGCTCACATAATGGTCAGCGACGGCTACACCCAGCGCATGGTACGAGCATTCCAAAGCACATCTCTCACGGAAACAACTGCGCTGAATAATTGGTTCGTCGAGCTCGACGTCGACTGGGTTCTCCAATTACAGCCGCCGCTCCACCTCCAAACGGTGACTACGTATTGGCGCCAAGAATTGGTCCAGAGGTGGATCCGTGCTCTCACTATAATTGTCGCCAGTATGAACGAAGTAATGCTCGTAGTCCACGAGGTGCTGGCTGTCGCACGGTTTGGCAAAGCGAGTATCTCAACAATGCTCGTCGTTGTCGACACCATGCTCGATGTTATCGAGGAGGATAAGCTACAGGTTGCCCTACACATGTATATGTGCGTCTCCAGCGCATCAAACATGATTATGATGATGATGCCCGTAGTCTCTTTGGAAGCCCAACGCATTTTGGATGAGATAAGCGTCTCATTGAAGACACAAGAGAACAGGTTAGTTCAGGCCATATCCAGCACCATGATGCACATCAGGACAGATTATTATGAAATCTCGTATCTCTCGTGGGATATTGAGATTGAACGAAGTGGAGGCGGAATTCACAGTAAGATTCGGCTCTTGGTGGATTGCATACTATCGATGAGGAAAGCATGTGCTTCGACGCTCAACTCTGCACAAAGCCAAAGCACCGTAAAGCTTCGTGACGCGATAGATGAAACAATAGATTATCTGAAGGATCAGCTTCTGAGAGATTCAAAAATGTCCTCCGATCCAAGCCTCAGGTCTATGTTCTTGCTCAACAACTCCAATTTTGTTGCGCAGCTTCTGGGAATTAAACTTACAACAGAATGCGAGAAGTACAAAGATATGTACCTAGAAATGATTTTTGAAAAAAATAAACAACAAACTACAAGGCAACTACAGTTCAAATTTGACCCGCTTCCAGCTGAATCGACGGAAATTTGTCTTTTTCACGAGAGGTGGATCAAAAAAATTTAAACCGAACTATTTGGTCAATTGTACATTAAATATGGCCTAGTATTTTACAAAAATGATTTGGTACAATTTTGCAACAATTTTTTGGAAGGTCCTTCACAAAAAAACCTCCTTCTTTTAATTTCACGCTTTTTCCGAAATGCAGGGTTGATATCTATTTCCCTTGCTATTTCTACTGCAGTAGTGAAACCAGTGTCTCTGTAACCTTTGAAAAAGGTAATCAAGCCTTGCACTTTTTCAATGGCAACATCAATAAGCATATCTTTTGACTGTAAGTCCTTGCTAATCAAATTTATTGCAGCCAATACATCATACCAAATGATTATGGCTACTACAAATTCGAAATCACCAAGTTCATTATTTGCTAGAGATTTAGCTTCACTACAAGTTTTAGGATCTTTATCGACATCAGCTACTTGCAGTAGAGCTTCTCGTATTTCTGAAATCTGAAACCTAATAGCTTTGACACTATTTATGCGACTCTCCCAACGAGTAGATGAGACTGATTTCAGAGTCAATCCTTCTCCTATATTATCTTTCAAAATCTTCCATTTCTTAGTGGAATTAGCAAATGTTGTGTAGATACATTGTATGATTCCAAATAAGTCCTTAGCTTTACCACAAGTCTTGGCCATATCACATAGTGTTAAATTAAGGCTATGACACCCACATGCAGAATAAAAAGCTCTAGGATTTATATTCAAAAGCAAGGCTTGAACCCCCAGATTCTTACCTTTCATGTTTGATCCATTGTCATAGCTCTGCCCTCTCACATTGTCTATGTCTAGATCAAGGTTCTTTAGTTCATCCTGCAAAACCTCAAAGAGTCCTTTTTCAGTGGTATCATTTACATCCAAAAATCCTAAAAAGGATTCTACAACGGAAATAGAACTTGAAGATGTTTCAACATACCGTATAATCAAAGACATCTGTTCTTGGTGACTCGCATCAGGAGTACAATCAAGTATCACCGAGAAATATTTTGCTTCTTTTATTTTTTTAGTGATCTCAGATTTAATTGCAGAAGCAATCAAATGTATTAACTCATTTTGGATGCCATGACCAAGGTAATGAGTATGAGTTTCATCATTTGTTATGCGACGAACATGTTCTTGAATAACCGGGTCAAACTCAGCCAACATTTCAACCAAGCCTAAGAAATTTCCGTTGCTATCTTGATACAATTTGGAATTAGTACCACGAAAGGCCAGATTATGTTTCGCAAGAAATTTAACAATCAAGAGAATTCTAAGCAATACTTTACACCAATGGTCCTTTTCTTTCTCAAGCTGTTGTCGAGCAGCGCTATCAATAGTAACAGTCAAACAGAGTCCAATCAGACAGACCAATGGATGGGCATATATACAAGGATCTTCAACATACTTCCGCTACATGATGAAGAGGTGATGGAACTCATTCGTGGTTTCAGCAGAGATCACTATGATTAATCAGCTCTTCTCCACCAGCCGAAGCTCTCATTAAGAGAAGCACCGGTGATTAACAATCATCAACCAGTAAACAAAACATGCACTGAGCTGGTACCAGCTATTACCAAAACCATGTGTACACGCAAAATTTAGAGACCTGAGTTGCTATCGCACCAAAATTTAGAGACATGGTGTGGTCTTCATCTGACGGCTCTGGTCGGCACCCGGGTCCGGCACTTGTCAGTCGCTATCAGGTGGATGCGGCAATAGGTGTTTTTTATAAATTATAAGAGAGAATTTCTTATTTGGTCCTTTCTTAAATTTTGCTTTCTATTTGGCCAAAAATGTTTTTTCTTTCCTATTTGACACCAAGTGTTAAATTTGTTCGCTATGTGACATAGTTCGGCCACTAACATGTCATGAAAAGTCCATTCCACCTTTGATATTATACTTTCTCCGTTTGGAATTACTTGTCTCGGAAATGAATGTATCTAAAACTAAAATACGTCTAGATACATCCATTTTCGCGACAGGTAATTCCGAACGGAGGAAGTACTAGACTGAGAAAAAGAGCGTTCATTTGTTTTACCGAGCCGATTTATTAGTGCCGCCGCCATAAGTGTATTGTAGTACTAGCTATGAAATAAATTGTGATTAACTCCAACAGGCCGCCGCTGGAGCTAGCTGTGGTGCATATGTTGCATTCGTGTGCGTCAGGCACAAGGAGAGTTTGCACCATATCATGCACTCACGAGTTTGACAGTACGTACGTATATGCAGAAGAAATGGTACGGTACTAGCACTTGTCATCTTCATGCGCACTAATGCAGAACCGGGCTTTAGTGCCGGTTCATGACGGCCTTTAGTGCCGGTTGGCGAACCGGCACTAAAGAGTGGGGACTAAAGCCCCTCCTCCCCTTTAGTACGTGGCACGAGGCAGACCCATGTGCGTGTAGGACATTAGTACCGGTTGGTAACCGGTACTAAATGTTTGGGTGTTTTTTTTAATTTTTTCTTTAATTTTGTGTTATCAATTTGGCTTTATTTTCCATTTAATTCTTTTTTGTTTGCTGGTATTTCACGATACTACAAATTGTACACGTTATGCATATATATTAAATAGATTTTTTCATACGTAGAACCGCATATATATATAATCATCGAATATCTCACAGCCAACATCATTAACTATTCACACATATACACATGTATATATATACAATTTCTACTACATGTTGCCTTGGTGCCTTCGGAGCACGATGACAAGTGGTTCATGAGGGCGGTAGCAGGTAATAGTATTCTCCTTTCGGATCTATGACCTGGTCGAGCAAAAATCCGGCTATTTCCTCTTGAAGTGCTTGTATGCGGTCCGATGGTAGGAGCTTATCCCGCATCGATCTGAACTGTTAAGAAGGAGATCAATATGCATGTGTGTTAGTTGTGTGACTAGATATCGATAATGGTGTGAATAGTGTTCTAACAAAAATGTACCCAGTCCTGTCTATCAGATCTGCTCCTTTCGCACGTCATCATGTGAATGTTCTAGCAAACGTAGTATGCACACAGATTATTCCCTTTCGCCTGCCTTGGGGCCTTTACGAGAATGGAATTGAATCAGATAATGATTAATCAAGCATAATAATTAATTAATGATATTGAAACAAGAATTAAAAAGATGGTAGCTAGCTAGTACTACTTAATTACTTACCTTGGGTCGATGCCAAAATATTTTTTTTCCATTCTCTTGGAGTCACCGCGATGAACTTTGCCCATGCCCTGCCCGCCGGCAAAGAAAATTAATAAAGGGGTTATTAAATAGTTCATATCAGGAACTAATAGTTAATAATGATTGAAATTACCTGTTGACTATCCCCTTCACGATGGTGTAGTCTTTATCTTCTTTAGTTAGTGAGTCCAGTAATTCAATTTTTCCTTCCTCAACTTTAATGTCTATCAAGACCCAATGCCAACTGCATACGCACACGTTTGCATGTCTTAATTAAGCGGGCATGTGCATAAAATTAATCAACTACCATAAACCGTATACACTTAATTATTAACATCTAGCTAGCTAGTAAGCAAAAACAGAATTTGTAGTACAAGACAGTGTGACTCACGAGAAGTTGTAAAGAAGTAGTATATCTTCGAAGGTATTGAGGCGCTTCAAAAACTCTAGCATGCTTTCCTCTACAATAGCTTTACAATGTTCAATCTCCCATATGTCCTGATTAATGGTATTTGGGTCAATGAATCCAACGCCATAGCGTCCAGCTTTTTTTATTTCATACATCTTCATCCTGCATATAATATCACAGAAAAAGAATATAGTGAGGATAATTACATGTAATGATTGATCAAAATTATCACTACATAACTAGCTTGAGACTTAAATTACAGAAAGAAATCACTTACAGACAATAGCAACTGACGATAGACTTGTCGAGTGCGTCTTGATTGAATAACTGAAATAGTTCTGGATACTCAATGGCCAGAGCTTTCTCATGGTAATAATGCTAATGCTTGACATTCACCATGAGGGACTCTTGATTGGAAATCTTGCTAATGTTCATGTACCATTGATGCAATTGATACATTCTCGTTGGGAGGTCCTTAACCTTGTCTGGATGGACCAAGGGTTTGCCCCGGACATATTGCCATGCTATTTCCGATTTTTTAAGCGTAGGCATGGGCTCGATTTCGAGGAGTTGTCCAACAGAGATATTGAGCATTTGAGCCTGCATTATATGATCCTCTGTAATTACCACATCGCCATGCTGGGGAACGCCAACGGTTTGCCCACAATAATATTTGGCGCGCGTACTACTCCTCTCATGTGTTGTTGGCACAACAAGCAGGGGGATCGTTTGCGCCGCCTGTTCTCCCAACTGGGGAACGGTTTTCCCGCATTTTTTGCCAGCTGCTTGTTGGCTCGAGCTTGAGCTCGCTTCCTTCTGTAGTCGTGCTCGATGTGCCTTCCTGATTTGGCGCTCATAGTCCGAGTCAACAGGCTTGGGAGCTGGTTCTCTAGCCATACGAATGAAGTGGTCAATTACTTTCTCAGGCACTTTCTCCTTTGGCGGCGGTGCCGGTTTCTGTCCAAAATGGGCGTCCACTTGGGCTTGCACTATGACTGTGTTTTGCTCCTTAGTCATGTCGTAAGGCCTCTGAGGAAGAGGAGTGAGGCTTGGACCATATTTATATCGCTTGCCTTCGCCTGTACTTCCTGAACTACCTCGACTCATACCGCTACGCACCAAAGCTGCGGGATGTCTCTTCTGCGATTGCTGAGAGGGCGGAGACGACTGACGTGGAGTTGAACCAGGAGAAGTTGCCTGACGATGTGCCTGACTTGAAGCAGGAGGTGTGGCCTCACACGGTGCCGGACTTGCAACCGGAGAAGTGGCATGACGCTATGCCGGGCTTGAAACCGGACGAGTCAGCTCACGCGTTCGGGGACTTGGAGGAGGTGGCGGACTTCAAGGAGGAGTCGTCTCACGCGTTCGTGGACTTGGAGGAGCGGGAGTCTGCTGACTCGGTGGCGGACTTCGAGGAGTCGGCAGACGACGCGGTGTCGGTGGACTTCGAAAGATTATGCAATCCTTTCTCCATAGGATGATATGATGTATGGCCTCTCCGAGTGTGCGCTCGTCTTCACCTCCAGTAATGTCAAGCGTTAGCCCCGAATATGGGTCCCCCACTTCATCAACCATGACACGAGCATAGCCCTCTGGAATCGGGATGCAATGGTAGGTTGCTTCGGGGGTAACTAAAAAAGCAACGCCGTCCGCCACCTTCATGGATATGTTCTTCATTTTGGAGTGTAGCTCGCAGTTAGTGTTCTCTATGATGTCATCCACAGGGTATTTGTCCAGCAGTGTGTCGCCCGAGGTAGAACCAACGCTGCTTCTCGGCATGGATGGGACGGTGCTATCCAATGCTGGACGATCATCCGCTTGCTGCTGCCGCTGCTGAGACCCCCTTTCCTGGCTAAGTGAGTCGATTTGCTGTTGCTGCTGCTGGAATTTGAGTGCCAGGTCCGCGTGCCTTGCTTCTAGGCCTTGAAGGCGTTCTGCGTCCTGCTTCCTCTGCTCCTCCTCCAGCTTCCTTTTCTTCTCCTCCTCCATCTTCCTTCTTGCACGGCTCCTGTAGTCCTCGTTCCATTCTGAAAAGCCCTCATACCAGGGAATAACGCCCATGCCTCGTGTTCTTCCCGGGTGTTCAGGATTTCCCAGGGCGCGCGTAAGCTCGTCGTTCTCTCTGTTGGGCGTGAACACCCCCCTTCGAGCTTCGTCTATTGCGTCAATTATCTTTTGTTCGGCTCCTTTTAGACTTGCCTTCCATGAAACTCCGCCTGTCTTCGGGTCCAACGCTCCCCCATGCGCATAGAACCAAGTTCTGCACCTGGGGGGCCAGTGCCGGGTAACCGGAGTGACCCCTACATCCTCCATCTCTTGCTCAGATTTATCCCACTTAGGCAATGCCACCGCGTAGCCACCTGGACCCAGCCTATGGAACTGCGTCTTTCTTGCGGCATTTGCCTTGTTTTTCATCGACCGTTCCTTAGATAATTCTGAATCCTTGAAGGTCACAAAATCGTCCCAATGTTCTCTTTGCTTCTCCAGTGTTCCCTTGAAATCTGGAGTCTTCCTTTCATTAGCGAGGTAGTTGGCCCATACAGTTTTCTTGTGGGTGTTGAATGCAATTGCCATCTTCTT